GCTCGACGCCGTTGGCCGTGGAAAGAGTGTGAGAGCAGATTGTGAGGGAGAGAGAGAGAGAGCCGCAGGTTGCAGAGCCGCTGACGCCTTCGCCCGCCGACGATGGCGCTTCTCTTCCCGCCGCAGCCGCTGCTCCCGACGGACTTCCTCGGGCTGAGCAGAGCGGCAAAAACATGGTCTCGTTCTGCGGTTACTTCATGGCCGATGAGACCAGCATGCACATGGCATGCAGCGGTGTTCGTCGCGACGCAGCCTCTACGAGCATCAGCACGTCACACAGCAGAGCACTCTGAGCAACACTTTCACAGCTTTGAGCAAACTTTTCACAGTTTTGAGGTTCCGCAAGGAAAGGGTAGTGAGTGCCTTTAAGTGCCCCAGAGCCTTAGAGCACTGCCCTAACCCGAGCCCTAAGAGCGCCGCCATGGCCGGCTCTTCGCCGCCCCCTCCGGCCAGGGCGGATCGTACGATCCCGCCCTGGGCCCGCGCGGCGCTGGAGCGCACGCAGCGTGAGCGCGAGGAGGCCGCGGCCGCAGCTGCGTCAGCAACCGCAGCCGCTGCGGAATCGCCGGCAGCTGAAGCGGAGGCAGCTCTACCGCCCAGTAACGAAGGGCACCCCCTCGCGGGGGAGGCTGCGGTGCCAAAGCACTCCGCGACGGCGCCTGATGCGCCGGTGGCTGCGGGGCCAGCTGTCCCGCCAGGGCTGGAGGCCCAAGCAGCCTTAGCTGCTCAAGCAGCCGCCCTTGCACAGATCTCGGCGCATTTTGACCCACCTTCGGGGGGTCCTGCCCCGTCGAGCGGGCCTCCACCGATCGACCCGACGGTGATGAGCCTCTTGCAAGGAATGCTGCAGAACCAGGCAGCAATTATGGCTGCCTTACCTGCAATCAGCGGAGCGGTGCCTCCTGCACCAGCGGCGCCGCCTGCGCCAGCTCCGATTGCAGCTCCGACCAGTGGCATCATGGCGCCGCCCAGCAGCTCGCCGGTTACCAACGTGCCGGTCCCTCCGGACCGAGCCGAGGGATCACCAGCAGCTCCTGCAGCAGCCGTTGCCACAGCACCGTCAAAGTTCGCCCAGACCGAGGAGTCTTCCTCGAGTGTCCCTCCACCCGCGAGCGAGGAGCATGAGGCGCGGATCTCGCCCTATCGGCAGTCTTCCGTCGCCCGCTCCGAGTCTCGTGGGCAGATTCGCAAGCGCGATGAGGAGGCCAACACAGATCGCGACGATGAGGCTCGCCGTAAGTCGCGAATGAAAGACTTTAAGAGGGTGCGCAAAGAGGAAGATGAAAGAACGGCGTCAATTCTTGCCGCTATGGACAGCGGCAAGCCAGATGCGGAAGCCGAGCTGGAAAATGCGGTGAGCGAGGCGCAGTCCCGCATCCAGAAGGGGAATCCCCTTCCAAGCGACCCCTTGTTGCTCTCGGCATACTTCCGGGCGGTTGCTATCCGAGACCAGGAGCAACGTCGGGAGCGCAAGGATCGTGAGCGCAAGGAGAGGCCAAAGTCTCCGCGGGCGCCTCCTGCGAGTGACCCTGCCTCTCCCAAGCCTACCGCTCCAGCCGCTGCGGCTTCGCCAGCGCCTGCTCGGGGTCCAGTGATTCCGAAGGCAGCTCCGCAAGTACCTCGTGCAGCTGCGCCGAGGCTGCGGACTCCTACGATTCCTCGAGCCACCCCTCAGGGGCCCAAGGCGGGTCCAGCTATGATCCGTCCTAGGCCAGCAAGGGCGCAAAGCGCGCCCATTCGGCCCGCTCCAGCGGCGCCCAAGGCAGGCAGCATATGGACAGCCGCGCCCATCCCCCCTAGGCCGGGTGGTGCGGTGATTCCGCGTGGCGCGGTACGCCCTGCCAGTTTTCCACGGCGGCTGCCTCTTCGGCCGAGCCTGCCAAAGCCTCCGGAGCGCTTCCGCCCGACGCTAAGGCGAAAGTGCTCTCCTCCAAGGCGGCTACGATCTGCAAGGCCAAGCCTCCAGCAGCGGAGGCAGCGCCTGCGCCTGCGGATCCGGACGAGGCCGATGAGGAGGAGTACGAGGAAGTGGAGGTGGAGGTGGCGGAGCCTAAAACCCCGCCCAAGGGGAAGGCTCCCGAACCCAAGCGGTACCCGTTACCTCCTCCAGAGGCAGCACCGGTCCGAGATGACCGCGGGCGCCCTCAGAAGCGGCCCGCTTCACCGCGCCGTCGGCGTCGCTCTCCTTCCGATTCTCGCGATCGTCGAAGGAGGCGCCGCAGTCGCAGCAAAAGCCGGCACCCAGTGTCGCGACGCTATGCCTCGGAGCCACCTCGGCGTGGTTCCAGAGCTAGCCTTGCTGACCGCCGGCACAGACCCGAAGCCCGCGACGGCCTATAAGGGCCAAAAGGGCCGAGGGAAATCTGGTCGAGGAAGCCCGCGACCCAAAGCCGCTAAGGCCAAGCCGGCTGCAGCTTCCCCGAAGCCAGCGGCGCCCAAGCCTGCCCCAGCGGCCCCACCGCCACCGGAACCTCCTGTTCCGCTGACACCGGACCAATGCTGGGAGTCAGGAGGTTATGGCCCGGAGGAGTGGTGTTCATTTATGAACGAGGCTGCACATGCAGCCTTTTTTTTGGCCTTGGAAGAGCACAACCGGGCTCTCAGCGAAGCTGCCGCCGCGGCCGTTGCCGCGAAGGCCGCAGGGTCGCAGCCTTCGGCCTCCGGCCAAGGATCTGCTGGTGCGGATCCCAAGAGTTCGACGAAGCCACGCTCGTCGAACCCTTGGCGCCAGCAAAATCGACAGGGCGCGGGGGCAAAGCGGCGTAAGCGGGATAAACGAGCCGAGTGGCTTGCCAAAAAGCAGGCGGAATGGGCAGCAATGCTGCCCCCAGCGGATCAAGCAGGTGCCACCAGCTGATCCGGGGCAGGCCTCCGTGCCTGATGATCCTGGGCAGGCCGCTGCGCCAGCCGACGCAGGGCAGGCAGCTGCGCCCGCCGACGTTGGGCAGGCGGATGCTCCTGCTGCTGTTCCTGCTGATGCCCCTGCCGAGCCCGTCGCGCTCGAGGAAGCTGCTCCTGCTGATGAGGAGCTTCCCGATGCTGGAGCCGACTCCGAGGCCAACGCTGCGAACGTCGTGCCCCAAGTGATGGCGGTGGCAGACGAGAGCGAAGCCCGCGCGGGGCTTCAAGGAGCGGATGAGGAGCCTCCAGAAGAACTCGAGGAGTTCGAGGAGGAGGATGATGAAGCTGAACCTTCGGGCGAAAGCTTCCCTCAGTCCGAGGCGGAAGCTTCGCAGGCTGCTCCTGCTGCTCCTGTGCTTGATCCGGCCGCTGAGCTGGCAGCTCAGGCACTTCGCATGTCCGGTATTGAACCGGCTCCCCCCAACATCCCGAATGCTGCCGCTCTCAATCAGGGTCTCCTTCGGGCGACCCAGAGAGCAGCCCGTGCAGCTGAGACGGGAAATGCAGCTGCGAGCGCAGAGGAAGCTTCAGAGGTTCCCTCCGAGACCGCGGACGAATACGCGCGTCTTGATGCTCGCGAGGCTGAGCTCCTCGCCGAGGCGGAAGGTTATCCTCCCGCCGAGGTTGAGGAGGCTCCGCAGCCAGCTGCTGCGAGTGGCGCCGCTCCGAGTGCCCCTCCCGCCAAGGCGCCCCCGCCACACCTGCGGGCAGCCACAGCGGGGGAAGAAGCCCAAGAAGGGCGCGGCACGAGAGCGCCCTGCGATGAGGCGGGCGATGGCCCTGTTTCAGGGCCGCTCATCGCAGGGAGCGCCACTATCGCGACCATTGTCGCGTTTTTAGACGCGTACCATATGGTGCGCCCCCACGCCCAAGAGGTAGTGGCGGTGGTGGCCGATGAAGTTGCCTTCGCGACTTCGTCAGCCATTCGTTTAGGAGCCGTGGCCATCGCCACGTTGATCCTAGCGGCCACTGCTGCAGCCTTGGTGGGTGTGCGGTGGACTCTTTCTGCAAAGAGTCGTCTTTTCCAATCCGGCTTCAACGCCGAGGGCAACGCAGCCGCAGCAGCTCTCCAATCCGCCGACGCCGCGCCGCCTCTCGCTGCTGTCGACACCTGGAGGCCGGATTCCCGAACCCCCCTAAGCCTCGTGAGAGTGGGATTGAGGTTAGGAGACTTGGAGAGGGATGAGCGGAGAGAGTGTACTGCGTATGTGCGGTCCTTTGTGGACCAGGCACAAGCCGAACGGAGATCTGTTCGAGTGTATGGGTTGAACGCAGCCGGTCGGGCTCTGCTGCACCAAGAATGCGCATCTAGACGCCTGAGCCACGTGACGAGTGGCGATAAGTCCTTTATGACCTTTTGGCACGAGGACTGGAGTCCACGAAAGAGCTCCGAAGCCCCAGCTTCGAGTGAGTCGTTCAAGGATCAGATCGTTTCTAGCCGAAGCGCCCCGGAATTGCCTGCTGCCGCGTTGCAGGCTCAAGAATCTCCTACGGGAGCACTTTCATATAAGAGCATGCGCTCAACAAACTCCGGCGGAGCTGAATTTGAATTGGCATCGCTTCGGCGAGAATGTGATGGCTTGCGAAAGGCCCTTGACGATTCCACTCGACGGGAACAGGGCCTGGCGGCCCAACTCCGAGCTCACCGTGTTCTCCAGGAACAGGTGGCCGATGGGCGTGTTACGCCGTTGGCTATTCTAGATGCCGCGCCCCAGGCGCGAGCTGGAGAAGCGAATGTCGCCCTCCACCCGGACTCTAGTTTTTTGAGTCCGTTGTTGCAGCTGATCGGCGACGCTGCTTGCGTCGAGATTATGCTCACCGCGTTCACCTATGACGATCCAGAACTCACATCTGCCACAACCGCGGCTAGGCTGCGAGGAGCCAATGTTCGATTGCTTATCGACCTGCAAAAGGCTCATGCGTGCAAGGAGTCAGGGAGGATTCTGCAGCAGCTCTTGGATGCGCAGGTCGAAGTTCGCGCCACTTGCGGAAAATCCCTTTCGGATGTCTATGGAGGTAGCTTTAGAGGTTTCAAGGGAGCCCTTCACGCTAAAACCGCTCTCGTCCGAAGCCGTGCTTCGGGAGGCGGTGAAGATGGGATAGTCCTATTATAGGCTCCCACAACCTCACGAAGGCCTCCCGCGCTAATCGCGAGTTCGTGACCGAGTTACGATTCGGCGCGAGCGATACTCGCGTTGCCGCATACCGGGCGTGGTATGAGAGCATGTGGAGCGGGTCCGAAGGGATAGTAGTAGAGGCTGGCGCCGCGCCACGCCGCCGCGTGCGAGGCAAGAACGCCCCGCCAAACGCGTCTGCTGCCGCTAACTGAGTGGTAGCACGGATCTTTTTA